ACTGGGTATGTATGATGAGGTTGTTTGTAAGAGATTTTATTTACATAGAAGCAAATAGCCTGTGGAAAATAAGCTGGCTAACGAGAACTGGTGAATATACGTTGCGATCTCATAACAACCGCGTAACAATGTTATGTTTGACGCATGCCCGGCTCGATGGCACACACCGACACATGACGCAAATAAGCCGTATAGTTTGAGATGTCATCGGTGAATCTGTTCTATAGAGCCAAGTTTTTAGCGACTTGAATGACGTCTAAACGATGTCCAACCAGTCAAAGACCCACAAGAAAATACATTCAGGCAAATACAACAGTTTGCAATATATATATATATATATATATATATATATATATATATATATATATAAAATAATTATGCAGACCTTGGCAATCTTCGTACGACTTTTTCATATATTTACCAAACGAAAATAAAAACAACATATGCACACGCTCAATCCCACATATTTATATAGATATGTGTGACGATTACACACATACACACACACACACACACATATATATATATGTGTGTCCGTGTATATTGTATATATTTTTTCGTTTTTGTGGATTTAGTACGCTTTTCTTTTGTCATTATATATGAAGTTACTAATATGTGTTTTTTTAAAACATTAATGTTATTCGTAAAATAATTCGCTTATTATTTCAGAGACACACACACACACACACACACACACACACACACACACACATATATATATATATATATATATATATACAACAAAATACCATGCGTGATATACGCTTTCGATACATGACTGACTAGGCAGATTTTTTCCCCGTAGTAGGTTGTCATTTCTTTCTGCAGTAGACAAGTTGTCATCCATGGCTATAGAACCCGGTCAGTCCTGCTATTTACCCATTGCTGGAGGGGGGGAGAAGAAGAAGTTTCATACCTTTCCCAAGTTTATTAGTACGTAAGTGAATGTAATGGATTTGATTGGAATTCGAACTCGGCTCTCCGATTCCTCAATCCTAGCTGCTACCTATATATAATTAAGTCAAATTTTGGCATTTAGCTGACATACATACATACATACATATATATATATATATATGTGTGTGTGTGTGTTTGTGTTTGTGAATGTTTGATTATTTTGTGGAAAAATCCGCCCAGAGTATAATTATCCCAAGCATTCTTTTAAATATTCGAGAAATTTCTTTACACCCTTTAAGTTTTTCAGCAAGCCTCCAAGTTGTACTAATGAATATTAGACAAAAAATGTTTTGAAATTGTTAAAAAAAAATCCCGTTCATTAGTTGTATCCCAACAAGGTCGGCTAATTTCAATTCAATTCTACCCGTTTCTTAATATCTACTTCTCACTCATTTACCTATATTTCTATTTATCTTCCTTTGACATAAATATTCTACTAATAATATTCTGACATTGAATAATACATAATTTCTATTTTTGCTCATGAAATTTATTCTTCAACATATAAAATCCAATTTGATTTTATTCTATAATATAATGTAATGACTTGTTACCAATTATCGAACAGCTCTTTGGGTACCTCGAGGTGGTGTAATGGTTAGCCAGCTTGTCTCGCTAGAACAATTACGACTGAGTAGTGAGTTCGATCCTTACTGGGTGCTCCTTACTTTCGGCCTTGTACCACATCCAAGCTACGCTTGGTAAATCACTATCGTGTAGCTGTTCACTATCTGTTGTGTAAAAATCCTTAACTTTTTATATGGAAAATATCATACAAACACATTATTCTTTTATTTCGCTGAGAAAGCTTTCCCCACCAAAAGTTTTTTCAGCGATAGGCTATGTCAGCTTCGGTTAGAACAGAGCAAACGAGTTGGAAGCTCTTCCCGTATTATTCTTATTGTGCGCCATCTTGTGTTTACATGGGAAAAAATATTTTTCCTAATGGCCAGGTCATGACTCATTTGTATCAACCTTTATGGACACGTTCCATCTACCGGGCCTCAAAATTGTGTATTTAGTGCTTCATTGCGTTTTTAGAACTCTAAATACTCTAACGATCCCAATATATACAGAGCATTATTTTAGTTCCATGAAGCTCAGGTTTGGCTTTCCTTTGTGGATATTTATAATTGTCCATCCATTGCCTTTTGTGCTAAACATTGTTACGTGTTAGTCTTTGCCAAGTTTACTCTTAACTGCCACATATGCTTTATAGTTAGGACGATACTTTCCTCCTTAAAACTGGTTCCTCACAGTGGGGGGTAATTTTAGCTCAAGCTTATATATTTTAAACCAGTCTGATAAAACGACAGTTTAATTTGAACGTTGACCATTTTATTGTTAGGAAAGCCGAATGTAGTTTTAACTCAAGCTAATAGTTTCTTTAGCCAGTATGAATGTCTTTGGTGCTAAACTCTTTTTTCTGCAGGTACTCGATTACATTGCGGTGTTCAGTTTCAAGAAAAGTCGCTACTAGACACTTTTGAAGTCTTCTTTGAAGAATCAGATGTTAGATTATCTGGAAAGAATCAACATAGTTATTAAAAAGAAGAGTTGAAATGCAAGATTTCACAGTTCTAGCATCACACCTCCCTAGTCAGCTTATGAACTTTTCAGCCCATCCTCACAATTTAGGTAAGATTATGCTTACCCATCATTTAGGAAGAATCTTAGACATTTAGTATTTAGGAAAGATTTTCTGCACGTAGCATCTAGTAAAGTATGAACGTCTCGCATTTATGATTATGTTGCATTTAATAATGACTTTGTAGTATTTAAAAAAATTGTGGACTTATAGTAGTTAGTAACTGATATAGACAATTATCATTAATAAAATAATCTAGAATCTAAGAATAATTTTAGGAATCTAGAATTTATGAAAGGTTATCAGTAGAATCAGTCCGGAAATAGGACAAGAACAGTGCGGATTCGTCAAAGACATTGGAACAAGAAACGCGATATTTGTGTACAGAGAATTATCAGAGAGAGCAATACAAATGAAGATGTGTAGGCAAGTTTTATAAATTATGCAACAAAGATCTGTTAGATCTGCTCACCAATCTTGATATATTTGGGGAGGATATTCAAATAATCAAAAATATATACTGGCATCAATCTGACTGCATACAGATAGAACACGAGTTTAGCAGCTATACAGAAATAGAAAATGGTGTAAGACAAGGATGTGTCTTCTCTCCGGACTTATTCAACTTATACTGCGAACCGATTCTGAGAGAGCTAGAAAGTTTACTAGAATTCATTAGTTGTGGCCATAATCTAAACGACATCAGGTATACAGATGACATAGTGTTGATAGCAGACACAGAAAGGAAACTACAAATTTCCTGCAGAAGCAAGTGAAGGAAATTGAGAAATAATTATTAAACATCAACTTCAAGAAGAGATAATGTATGGTTGTTATCAAAAGGATGAGCCCAAAGTACGAATTGCGAATTGGATATAGCAAAATCAAACAAGTGCGGAAACTTAAATAAAAGGGAAATTTTTAGGCAGAAGATACAATGTGTGACACTGAAATCTAGAGGCGTATTCGGAGAGGCAAGGAAGCATTCCAAAAGCAAAGCAGAATACTAAGAAATGGTAATATTTCGCTAGAAACAAGGAAAAGAGTACGAAACTGCCTCGTGATATTTGTCTTCCTCTATCGCAGTGAGTGCGGAACGATCTCCGAACATGTGAACAACGAAACTTTTTGGAGAAACTAGGAACAAAACGAATGAAATACAGTGCAACCTCGCTTCTCGAGCGTCTCACATGTCGAACAAATCGGTTTTCGAACAGAAAATTTGAAATGAAAATGCCTCGGTTATCGAACAAAATTTCGCTTCACGAACAACATTGCCGAACCGATTTAACCCGAACGGAATAATTCTTGAGTCAACCGCCGTGTTTTATACATCTGTACGTTGTGTTGTGTTTTTTTTTCCCCAATTTTATTGTACTGTGACTTTTTTTTCTCTACATTGATTCCTATTCGAAAAATAGTTTCGGTTTACGAACATTAGTGTTACGAACGGCCTTCACGAACGAAATAAATTCGTCAACCGAGGTTCCACTGTATTTAATATCGGAAAAGAGAGAGTTAATGTTTCTGGGGCTTAATGAGGAAGGAGGGTTTGGAAAATCTGATACACACAGGACATGAATAAGGCAAGACTGACAGAGGTAAAGAACGCATAAACTGCTTAAGTAAATGGATGGCGGGACCGGGTTTAGTAGAAATAACAGAAATATAAAGCTACAAAGAACATAAAGTTGTGGAGAGCCATGATCGCCTACGCCACGAGAAGACACGGCACACAAAAAAAAATATGAATATATAACATTTGGAGAACTAAAAAAAATTTTCCCATAGACATGAAACATACGGCCAATCGGACTGGCCTGTGAGTTATTTTCCAAATAATATTTTTTTTTCTGTTCATGAGAGTAAATTCGGCAAATGGTCGCGTACCTGACATTATGTTTTATAGAAATTACCGTTCCGGATGCATGATTTTATTAAAGGCATATTTCACAAATGTTCATTTAACTAATCCCATGTATCATTTCTTCCCCATACATAAAAAAAGTGTGATGCCTGATTTTTCATACCAAAAACTAAGGACAATTTTTTTTTTTTTTTTGACTACGATATGCCTGGTTTGCGTTGCATCAGTGTATATGCGCCAGTTTTTCACACATTAATTTACTCTAAAAAATTATATATCACTGTTATTCTTCACTTTGCCCAAACTGGGTCTAGAATTTATGAAGTATATGGCCATGTACTATTTACGAAGCATTGAGAAGATCTTGAAGTTTAGAAAGACTATAGAATTTCAAATAGGGACTTTGACTATTTAGGAAAGTATGTGAAAAATTCGTATTTACCAAAAACGGTGATGGCTTCTAGCATTTTGATGAGAATATGTCATAATATTATCTAGTATTAAGAAAAATATCTATGACACTATCAGGCAGATAAGACTAGTGAGATTTATAATTTAGAAACGACTAACATGTTATTACGCTTATAGATAATTCCGTCTGCCCATCTCATCTATCTATCTATCTATCTATCTATCTATCTATCTATCTATCTATGTCAGTCATTTTCTGTCTCTGTCTGTCTGTCTGTCTGTCTGTCTGTCTCTCTCTCTCTCTCTCTCTCTCTCTCTCTCTCTCTATATATATATATATATATATATATATATATATATATATATATATATATATATATATATTTGGTTGGATTGATGGGAGTTTGTGACCTTGGGTTTCACGCTTTTGCGATCGTCTGACGAGTTCATCGCAAAAGCGTGAAACCTAGGTCACAAACTCACATCAATCCAACCAAATACTCTATCTCTGATATTGAGCGCTTTCTAATAAGTACTTATCATAATATATATAAATAATTATATATATATATATATATATATATATTTATTTATATTTATATACACACACTTTTCTATATATATATATATATATATATATATATATATATATATATATATATATATATATCTATATCAGTCATTTTCTTTCTATATCTCTCTCTATCTATATATCTGTCTGTCTGTCTGTCTATCTATCTATCTATCTAACAATATATATATATATATATATATATATATATATATATATATATATATATATATATATATATATATATATACCAGTCACTTCCTATCTATCTATCTATCTATCTATCTATCTATCTATCTATCTATCTATCTATTTTATCTCCTTTCCTATCTATCTATCCATCTCTCTCTATCTATCTATCCATCTCTCTCTCTCTCTCTCTCTCTATATATATATATATATATATATATATATATATATGCATTGATATATGTGTTACAATCTGAGACATTTTCAAACATCATTTCTTTATTTCTTTTCTTCTCATTGATTCTTTATCGACTTACATTTCGTTTTTTTTCTTTCTTTCTACCTTTTTTTTCTATACTTTACGATCTAATTATTGTTTTCCTTAGAATTTCCTTTTCTCCCCACGTGTATTCATCATTTATTTTTCATTTGGTTTACTTTATTTTCCCATTTTATGATAATTTCTTCTAGTTTATTCATCTCAATGTTTTCCCTTTCTTTTCATATCGAATTGTTTGTATAAGTCTTTCTCCTTCTGTTCTTTTCTTCTTTGTTTATTTTTCCTAAATTCAGTCCAACCTCTTTTTCATATTTGCTAGATTATTTATAATAACATCCTTTATATAATTACGTAAACTTAATTCATTTTATGGACCAACATTAGGATTTTTCGTTCTCGTCAATATCTTCAGTTCATGTCTTTGTTTCTTTGTTTCTTTCTTTTTTCTCCTGTCATTCTTTCTTTCTTTCTTTCTTTCTTTCTTTCTTTCTTTCTTCTTTTGTCTCCTGTCTTGTTTGCTTTTTCTGTCTGTCTGTTTTTCTTTCTTTTTTTCTTTCATTTTCCTAGTTGGTCGGTCTCTTTCTTTCTTTCTTTCTTTCTTTCTTTCTTTCTTTCTTTCTTTCTTTCTTTCTTTCTCTCTTTCCTCTCTTTCTTTGTCTTCTGTTTATCTTTCTTGCTTGCTTATTTCTCGCTTACTTGCTTTCTATCTTTCTGTCTTTCTTTCTCTTTTTCTTTCTTTTTCCTGGTTGGTTGGTTTCGTACTTCCTTCCTTCCTTCCTTCCTTCCTTCCTTCCTTCCTTCCTTCCTTCCTTCCTTCCTTTCTTTCTTTCTTTCTTTCTTTCTTTCTATTGTCTTCTTAGTTTGCTTCTCATTTCCCACTTTATACATCCCGGGACGTTATTTCCATTTTTATTAACTTATTTGCAATTCTTTTGTTAAAAAATTCTCCGACAGTGTCAATTTTCCCATCGTTCCAATTGATTTTATTTTATCTTTCGCTTGTACATTTTTTTTCTTTCTGCCTCTTCTTCCGTTCGCTTCTTATTGTTTTCCTTGATATATTCTCTAAATAAGTGGAAAACAAAGCTAGTATGATTACGTTTCTCTAAACGTCCAAATGACAGAAGGACTACCATATTTTGTAAAATCAGCGTTGAAGATTTTGTTCCATAACGTCCGATTTCTATTACTAATTTTCTAAATCTAGTGATATGTAATGTGCGTTGCTTAGTTCAGCCAAAATTAAAACCGGAAAAATGATGGACAAGAAAATAGCCCATCAAATCCTTCGGTGTATAGAATAGACTGCGCCAGGCGTAGTTTCGTACAACACCGCAGGTTGCTACAAAATCAAAACATTAACATAAATACTAGAATCATGTTCTTAAATGACTCGCCATAACAAAATATTTTCATGAGTGCCATTCATGACTTGTTCAGAAATATCTAAACTCTCAGGTATATGCAAACACTTTCGCAGGTCAATAGTTGGCTACGATCAAATGAAGCATATATGTCTCAGCGAAGATCATCTTCTTCGAATGGAGTGGAATGGCGTTATATAATCACAGACAAAGAACTGTATCAAATACCAAGAACCTCATCTTTTGAGGTTTTTTCAATATTAGCAACAATTAAAATGGGTTGCACATTTTTGTGATGTTAGACGCCTTCGTCGTTGTCACATTTGTGATGTCAACGAATGCTCGTTATCAAGTTCGTAATGCTCGCTGTAGTCGAGACTTTGTAAGCGCAGGTACTGGTAGCAGTAACGCCTTCAAATAATACACGCACTAATAATACTTGTTCAAATAGTAACCGCCGAATAATAATCCGAAGTGTGACCAATATAAATTAATAGTATAGAGGATAGTACAGAGAATCGGGGTCACTTAGTGTCACGCTAATTCCTATTTATGTGTTTCCTTTACGATCACGTGATCTACTTAATTAGTAATGTAATCATGTGCATTTGCTCACTGGGGACCTGTGTTCAAGCTACTTTATTTCTGTAGAACAGTGTGTGTGTGTGTGTGTGAGAGAGAGAGAGAGAGATAGAGAGAGAGAGAAAGATTCATTAGGTACCGAAAAGAAAATGTATACGGAAAAAATATCCTCAACTTTATAAAAGGAAGATCAGGCCTAAAATTGAAAAATATTTTCATATTTGGGCGTGAGCTGTTCAGTCCTCATACTCCAGACTTGATAGATTCCAAAAGCGTCTCTGAGTCCTTGTGAGTGATTTATTTTCTACCCTTTTGCAGTTGAAATAGTAAAATGCAACTTCTACTTCCACGTGGACAGTTTATTTTCTCGCACTTTCCACATGTAGAACTCTCTTCAGATTGCTTTTTTTTTTATATCTACAAAGTTCAAATATTTAAATGCAATATCAATCGCCATCTTCTGTTTTCTTAAATCTCGTTCACCTTTGTCTTTTCCTCAATCTTCCCTATTCTCAGTCTTCTCTTTCACTCCCTGTAAACCCATCGTGTGCTCGTGGCATTCCCACCTTGCTTGGTGTGAAATGATTAAAAATAACATAATTAAGATTTTGACTATTTACACTACATCGTTCGGACTATTGTCCTTATCTTTATTGCCATATTCATCACGTTTCAACTGTTGCATGTACCGCCCTTCATTTAGTCGAAACGTCCCCAATATGGGAATAAAGATAAGGACTAATGACCAAACGATTTAAGTAGTGTTAGATAGTTACAATACCTCATTTCCGAAATTATAGACATGTTCAAGATGTTACAAACTATTTCAAACAAAAGATTATTAAGTAAATCATCACCAATACTAGAGAGAGCGCTATACATTACGTGATATGAGAAAGCTATTTTCCTGCAAATTGTAGTGCAAGATTTTATAAATTTCAACCGGAATAGCACTGGCTGTCAATAAATATCGAATGTCTCCTTATAAGGAATACTCTAATATTTCTTTCATGATTTTTTTCTTTTACTTCTCTTTCATTTATTTCTGCATTTTCTTACATGCTAGAATACACACTCACACACACACACACACACACATATATATATATATATATATATATATATATATATATATAAGAAAATGGACAAAGTCCTACAATTTTATTTATTAAAGATATTTTTTATGTTTAACGTTCTTTTATAGATACAAGTATTTAAGTAAATGCTCTGTTTATAATAAACAGTATTAAATAACATTTACCGGCCTGAATGTCCGAGAAATTTTCATAGAAAATATTCGTCCTTTGACAGGATTCGAACCTGCATCCTATACGGAACCGTCATTTACGCTGACGTGCCTTGACCACTCGGCCAAAAATGACGGTTCCGTATACTGGTTAACTCCACTGACATACCTCATTACTCTGCTTACATCGAGTGATGCGTTTTTGTAAACATTCAATAACATTATGAGAATGCTTGCAGCAATTTCTTCTTCCAAAAAATAAATTCTATGATAACATTTTGGTTTTAAAGTGGCTCCTGAGTGGCAGCGATTTTGAATAAGATAATGCCATTCCATCGATGTTTCCGCGAGCTATTAGATAGTCTATGGTTTATGGTTAAAATAAATCCCTCGGCATTTTTGTGAATACTTTTAAAATGATATTGAGAAAGGCATAAGTTTTGGATCGAACTTCATATTCAAGCTAATATTGTTGCTTGGGATGATTTGAATCATATTCCTATTTTCGGTTCTTTCTAAGTTTTGATAAATTCTTTGAAGTAGCACTAATAGTAGTAGTAGTTACAATATTAATAATAATTTAACTAAGCAAATACAAGCACCTCGAGATAGAACTCAGTAAAATATGATTGACTGATTTTGTTTAGTAGCACATCGACCTCTGTGGGTTATTTAATGCCGAAATATAAATATTTTGAACGCATCTGTAGGCTTTCAACAACAGAAAAATGTATTGTTGGTCATTTTGCTATAAATAATTATTGTCGGTAATTTTTTAATATAAAAAGATATTGCAGGTATTTTACAATAAAATGTATTTTAAACTTTCATAGTGCTTTGTTTCTGTTTAGATTGTCACTATTTGCCCATATCTGAGATCCTAACAGGTGCTACTACCACAGAGCATGCTGGATCTGAGAACAACAGCAATTAAGAGGTGGTTTCACTGTCCTTAAAACCTCCAATTTCCCAAATCAGAGGCCTTGCTGCCAAATGTAGTTTATTGCCATACTCTGTATGAGTAGAATGTGGAATCTCAAGAGAAAATTATATGTTGTTATTGAGGCTTGCGGGAATTATATCAAGAACTGCAAACAAATATATAGAACAAATCCCTAATAGCCTTGAAATATGTGAATTGCTAAAAATCATAGACATGTATTTCATGTGTAGATTTCACTCTATCTACAATTACCAAATTCCCTCTCATTGATTACATGATACCTCAGCTATTTGCATCTTCTGATACGATGAAAAACTTGTCTCTTGATGTTTCTGGGTCAGATTTGGGGTAACAAGTATTACACAAAGCAAAGTCAAAATACATATTATTATTATTATTATTATTATTATTAGTAGTAGTAGTAGTAGTAGTAGTAGTAGTAGTATTAGTATTATTATTTCTTTGAATTTCTGTTCTATATTTATTTATTTCTCCAGAGTGCTAAGGTTAGAAATGACATCATGATATTTTCTTTGAACATTTTTTCTAAACTGCAAAAAACAGAATCAAAAAACAAACTAAGATCACGCATATTTTACAAAGATAAAGCTCTTCGTAATGTGTGAGTTGTACTTGTGAGTATGATTTTTTTGTATTTCTTTAAGACATGGGCTGCTAGGAATCTCTTCAATGAGTCTATCGGAACATTTTCCAATCAATCTGAAGACTCGTAATACAATTGGAATTATTGATGCCCTCATGTGCCACATCTTTTAAATTTTCCCCTCATGATTTTGATAGTTCTTTTTTTTTTTTTTTGAAGATCTTCAGAGATATACTATAATCTGCAGAGAATGTCATGTCAATGAAAAAAGAACATTCTGCGATTAGATTTCATTGTTGTCTGTCTGCATTGTAAAGTCCCACAAAATTCTTACAGGTCCTATCTCTGTAATCGGGTTACAGTTACCTTCACGTAAAAATTGGAGATATTCAAGTTCAGGAATTAATCTACTTTATCATGCCGAGTTTTATATTCTATGGGTGCCAACACTGTGCAACCCGATTATTATTATTATTATTATTATTATTATTATTATTATTATTATTATTATCTACTTTGATTTATGTTGTATACACATTTTTCTGAGTCCCAACCAGAAAGCTAAGATCAGAAAAGGAATCATGGTATTTTCCACTGCACATTTGTTTACAAAAAAATAATAAAAAATAAAACAACCTATAAAGACACGTTTTACTTTAATAAAACTCTAGGACGAGAGTTGAGCTTGTGCGAATATTTGTATTTTTAAGGCATGAACTGTCAGTTATCCTTGCCGTATGTCTATTAGAACATTTCTAGTTTAAACTAAGGTCCCAACCACAATTGGAATTATTAAATTCTTCATGTGCCACATTTTTGTCATTTCCAATTCATATGTTTTGATCATTTTTTTTTAATCTTCACGACTACATTAAAAGCTGCAGGACCTATGGTGTCAATAAAAATGCATATTCTGCTTTAGTGATCTTTGATTGTATTGTCTGTGTATCCCATAATATTGATAGACTTTCTAATTTTGTAACCTTGTATGGGTGGTATTAATAACAATTTCTTAAAGTTTCCTTCACCTAAGCGCTGCAGATTTCTCGTGCATATATTGGTCCACCCTTTCATATCGATCATTGTATTTGGTGGGTGCTTATGGCATGCACCCTGATATAAGATGGTGAATTCATTCTCCATGCTCATCACAGAACCTGCATTTGGCGCTAACAGAATATTTCAGTATATTTACTTGTTAATTTATAGTTTGCAAACATTGGTCCTATGTATCAAGAATAAAACCTGCAATTTCTACTTCAATTTTGCTTAGTGCAAATCCTGATGAACGTTTTTTTTTTATATATAAGCTTTCTTGGTACGGGCGGAGTATTGAAGATGAAGAGTTTAATCTTGCCATCGTTTCAGCTTTTAGTCCATCGTATTGACTTTTGCTTTTTTTATTTTTTTTGTTCTTTGCTGCTGCAATCAACGGATTATGGCTTATTAGCCATTCTTCAGCCACTTGAAATTCCCTTTTGAATTTGTAGTCTTCGTTTATTATTTCTTTCATGTTCTTTGACACAGATCATCATCCAGTCTTCAGTCGTTTCCAGAAATCTTTGTAAAGAGTTTGTTAGTTTCACTTGTTCTATTTGCTCTATGCTTGTATCAAAAGAACATGATGGAGCTACGGCTAACCCATCATATTATTATTATTATTATAATTATTATAATTATTATTATTATTATTATTATTATTATTATTATTTCCTTTGATCTGTTGTATTATTATTACTTTTATTATTATTATTACTGTATGATACCTGCTACAAATACTGTAGAGTCGGGTCCAAACTATCGTCGTTAGGCCCTATAGGAGAAATGTCATTTAATCGATAGCCCTTATTTAATATATGGGATGTTCCTAGTAGGATGCACTTCTGGGCAACTTGTATGTTGATGTTACCTGGGACACTCTAAGTAAAACTGTCCATTCGTTTTCTCACGAGGCCCAGGGCTCCGATTACTGGTCTCAGTCTTCAATGCACACACCATGTTAATCTAGATCTCCATGTTCTTGTATTTGGACAATTTCTCGATTATTATTATTATTATTATTATTATTATTATTATTATTATTATTATTATTATCTACTTTTGATTTCTTTTTAAATCTTTACCGGTAATTGTCAGACAATGTAGTAAAATATATATATATATATATATATATATATATATATATATATATATATATATATATATATATATATCCTGATCACCCAAATACGGATGTTAAGTATTGCTTAATATTTACATGTTATATATATAAATATATATATATATATATATATATATATATATATATATATATATATAATGACAACGCTTATTCACTTTTAATTAAATCACATCACTTCGAATACAGCATACTATACCTTGACTTACAAAGTAGCGTTCTTAAATTAAAAATAGTTTTAAAATCTAACGATATTTGTCTTTTGCTTCTAAATTAATGTTGCAAAATAAAATCCTTACATGATACTTGTTTTCTTACATGTTGCTTGATAAAGTCTATATGAGAGCAAAACGGGTAGGGTAAGATAAATTATATTTATGAAAAAGACACACATAAATTTAACAATTTGTAATGATTATTCCGGGGCGTATGTTTCTCGACACGCACATTTATAACCTGAAAATAAAATATTTTTATTAAAATTAAACATAACAGCAATTTTATTAACAAATAACTCGCTAAGAAAAATGCCTGATAATTATGCACCAACTCAATATATATATATATATATATATATATATATATATATATATATATATATATATATATCATGATTCTTCATATATTCTTCTTTTCTTTCTTCTTTGTTTTTGACTTTCTTACTTTCATTTTTTAATTCTACCATTCTTCCTTTGCTCGTTAATTTATTTATTTGATTGATACATTTTTGTCTTTTATTGCCTTTTTCTTTCTTTCTCTCTAACTTTTTTCTTTCATGTGTGCTTACTTTCTTTCTTTTCTGCTTTCTTTGTTTCTTTCTTCCTCGCTTCCCTCCTTGTATCTTGTGTTTGTTTTTTTTCTTTTTTTCCTTCCTTTCTTTCTTCCTTTCTTCTTTCTTTCTTTCTTTCTTTCTTTCTTTCTTCATTTATTTCTTTCTACGTTTTTGTCTTCGAGTGTAATATCGACTCTTTTTTTATTTTTATTTTTTTTTCATTTACGTCTCTATTTCGTTGATATTCCAGATATTCTGCTCCAACACGAATTTCTTTTCTCTCTCTGTCTCTCTCTCTCTCTCTCTCTCTCTCTCTCTCTCTCTAACCTTAATTTTTCTTGTTAACATTTATTTAGCTTTTAACCCAGTCTTTCAAGTTACCCTATTTCTTTCTTTATCTTTTCTTTTTAATAATCACTCTACTTCGTTTTGTATCAACGGCTTATCAAGGTCTTAGACTGTTCTGACTTTCTCAATGGCTTCAATTAAATGCCATGTTTTACAAACTGATTAGCAAAGTAAGTATTCTCTTACAGCATATTCTTTCAACTGTATTTTCCTTCCTGCATCATACAAACTTTATAAATATTTACACATATTTACGTCATTTGATTGAGTGGATGTTACAATTGCTGCGCGAGGTATTAAAAATGGGCGATCCACTTTTATCTAGTCGCCGATCACTATGTAGAAAACTAGCACAATACAATCGTTCTACCTCTATCCATGTTTTCACACAGCATAAGCTAATAGTTTCATGTATTATGTTGCTATATAAATTCGTTCTTTTTATAATTTAATTAGATGCTTCTTATTTAATTATAGTTCTGATTAATCATTCAGCAATGTATTACCCTTCATTGATTACGACCTCCTGACAACGATCCACTAACTATTCAATACATCGACGATAGAAATAACAAGGGTTTGATTCAAAAAATTCTACAACCAACGTTTTAATTTACAGATCGTTGTTGAACTGAACACTCCTGAAATTGTTAGAGAGAATCATGAGATTATGGGTATTGCAGAAGTTCCCATTGTTTGGCCATGTTAGCAACAGCGTTGTCATGTTGAATAATCAAGCTGTATCGCCGGTTAGGTTTTTTTGTAATTGAATTGTCTCTTAGCAATGGCTGTTTTTTAACCTTTTCATCTCCGTACACAGTACAAATATCTCGAACAATTTTGACAGTTTTGTGACCTTGATTAAAAGCAAAGAGAAGAAAATGTCGAACTTACTTATTTTTGTCTAATTGGCATTCCGTCTCAAAGGAGTGTCATCTCTGAAATAAATTTTCACTAAAGATAGATTCATAGGATTACCAAAGTTATTAAAAAGCAAGAAATGCCAAGAAATATTATTCTTCTAGATCTTTCGCAGAACAACACAGAAAGCGGACTAATATATCTAACAACATAACATCATTTTTTTATATTTTATCTAGGGCCGAATCGGAAAGAAATCTTCACTACCTCCTATACAGGCTGGTAGAAGAAATCAAGAAAAAAGTCTAACAGTCAACTGCAAGAAGACCTAAAACATAGTCATCAGCATGAGAAAAAGACCAAGATGCGAGTTCCAAATTGTATACATAAACACCAAGAAAATGCAGAAGTTTAAATATCTGTGAAGCCTTTTAACAGATGATGGAAAATGTGTTATCGTGATCCAAACACGCATTAGTCTAGCGAAAGAAATATTTCAAAAGATAAGGAAGGTTCTGAGAAAGGGAATAAATTCTATAGAAACATAGAAAAGAATGCTGGACTGTAATGTGATATCCATCCTCTGAAATGACAGTGACTGATGGACAATCTCTCCAAGGTTGAGTAAAAAAAAAAAAAAAAAAAACACTAGAGACAACAGAAATGTTCTGCAGAAGAATAATGAAAATTCCATGAACGGAACAAATAAGCAACAAGGAAGTCTTAAATGAAAATGGTAACAGAACGCTTATATTCAGAATCAGAAAAATATACCTGATTTTTTTTTTAAATGAGGAAGTAGGGCTTGGAAAACTTAACTCACCCGGGGCTGATTGAGGATAAGAGAAATTATGGAAGGCAGAGACCCTCATACCTGACGAGCTTGGGTGAATGGATGGCGAAACACACACGTTAGCAAAGGGAGAAAAACTGCTCAGAGTCACATGAGATAGGAAGTTGTGGAGAGCCATGATCAAAGAAGAGTTTTGTTTAATTCTACTTAAAATTTAATTTTATGTTTTCGCTGAACACTTTTCTTTCTTCTCAATTCTTCTTCTTCTTCTTCTTTTTCTTCTTCCTTTTTCTTTTTCTTCTTCTTTTTCATCATCATCATCATCATCATCATCATCTTCTTCTTCTTCTTTTTCTTCCTCCTTTTTCTATTTATTCTTCTAATTCTTCTTCATCATCATCATCATCATCTTCTTCTTCTTCTGCTTCAATGTTTATTCCTCTTTTTTTTCCTGTATACGTATTTATCTCAACATCAAATCATTTTTTTAGTCAGCTAGCCAACCAATTGCCAATACATAGATTCTAAGATGGCACTCTCGCAATATTTCTTCTTTTTACTTTTTCTTCTTTCCTCTCGCCGTCTGCTAACTGTCCAAGCGCAGTGCTCTCCCCTGCCAGTCAGCCTGTCCATATAATCAGCTCTGTTTTTCCTCCAGAAAAAAAAATTCAAAAAGAAAAACCCGTCAGCCGTTGAAGACATCACTATCAAAAACAGGTAAACAGGCCATAGCGTTGTCGACATCAGGCTCACCGCGAACGGCACACGGCACACCGCGCATATCGAAGCGCCCTTACTTTCCCAGCATGCACATATCCGGGACTGTTTTCCGGTTGAAATGAAACTCGCCGTTCCTGGCCTGGATATCTCATTAGTAGCCGTTTTCAGATAGCTAATCTGCCATTTCAGAGAATGGCTGGCTCGTCGTTCTAAAGAGACTGAAACAGCGAAGCCTCAGCGGGAACGGCAGGGTGACCCGTCGTCCACAAAACATGGATTTGCTTTTGCCTAGACGGACAATGCCTGCTCATCACGAATGGGGTCGGTAGGAGAGGGGCGGAATTGTGGCCCTGAACAAGGTCCGGTTGGAAACTGTGGAAGGTTGTAGGGTGGTTGCGTTTTAAGGTGGGCGCTGAGTGTGTTATTGTGGCAGTGCGCAAGGCGTTTCGTTCCTATGCGGGTCGCTTTTTTTTTTTTTTTTTTTTTTTTTTTGGCTTCGTATTTGTTTGTTTGAAAGAGGGAAAATCGAAAGGAATGAAACGTTATTGTGAGGAGGTGTGCGAGTGGCGGTGAAAGAAGATAAAGAAAAAGGTAAAAAGAAATCGGGAGAAATCAAGAGAAAAGAAAGAAAGAAATGCAGAAAAAAGAAAGACAGAAAGAAAGAAAAAAGAAAGAAAGAAAGAGGACACATTTAAAGAGAAGTGACAAGCAATGTATGAAACAAAGAAAAAGAGGCGCACTTGATTATTTAGAGTATGAGAGAAAATGAATAAAGGGAATAATACTAATTTACACCCACATAAACATACATATATTTTCAACCTGTCCTGGTTATCAGTGTTCGATCCTTACAAAAGCAGTATTTCATGTAATTCGGTTCAAACTGTGCACTCTCTGATTAAAGTACTATTACGTCACTCTGTTTTCCTTTTTGTAATCCTGAACTAGACGAAGTTTCCTCCATGTTTCTCTCAATGAACGCACATTGACGTATGAATGCTGAAAAATAATAAAATTAATAAAAAGGCCTTCGCTAAATTTCTGATTCTTAATCAATGAGATTAGATTTTGGGATATAGTGAGCGACAATGTCTCGCCGTGGGGAAAAACACTTTGAATCAACAATCTGATGCTTGGTCAGATTTAGGGATGTTTCTGGACCGAGAACTTACATCATCACAGCGTCACAGCGTATATGCATTGGGTTTTACGAGGAGGTACTAAAATTCCTTTGCCTTGTTTAAGAATCAATTGGAAAAAAGCAATGTTTGTCAAGCCAAGGACTATTCATGTTCCAATACTTGTATATAGACATATACGAGGATATACTGAAAATTCCTTACAACAAATAAGAAATCCTTCCCCAGAACATTTGCTCAAACTTTTTTATATGAATGGGTCGGGCCAAGAAGTAAAAGAAATATTCAGTTATATATATATATATATATATATATATATATATATATATATATATATATATGTGTGTGTGTGTGTGTGTGTGTGTGTGTGTGTGTGTGTGTGTGTGTTTGTGCGCGCACGTGTGTGGGAATTAATCTGTAGAAAAAGAAAATACGTATAAACGAAAAAGACAATAGGAAAAATGCAGTTTTATCTGATGCATTTCGTCTAATGTGGACTTTTTGAAGGCAAAAATAAATGATTTTATTGAAACAAAGTTTCCATAAACAACAAATAAAATGTTGTTAGCAACTAGAAGAATTTAGAAACATTATTGTAAATTCATATGGTCAACTGAAAAATTACGTCTATTTCTGTTTGAAGATAATGTTTTCACATGTAGAAACATTAATTGAATTGTTGCGTTGACGGATTTAACCATTTTGTTTTGATTTCTTGATATATTTGTTGTGTACGTTGGATTGGGAGAGGAGTGATTCTGTTAGGAAAGATGATATTGGGAAAAATAACGGAGCGTATATTAATACTTGGATAATAATTAATGGCGGCACTCTCGTGGATTTTCATTCTGAGTGAATTATTTTCTTTTTGGGGGGGGTGTAGCAATTATAAAATCAAAATTGTGGTTGCATTTTGATTTTATAAAACTACAGTTTTCCTAATGTCTTTTTGCCATTATACATATATTTATATGCGTATGCGTCTGTGTGTGTTTGTGTGTGTGCCTGTACGTCTGTGTAAAATTTTCAGATATCAATAATTCTACCATTCGTCTATGTTTAAAATATCGCTACCACATATTGTCCTGTGTCCCTGTTATTCATCTTAAGATCTTTGATAAAATCCAATAAAGAATCAGCAATATTATTCGTCTTGATATGGCGGATTAGCTTCAGTTACCTTCAAATCGCCGTAAGGTTTCCTCTCTCTGTCTTTTCTAAAAATAATTTCATGATAATTTTTCGGATGATCTCTTCGCTAGCGTATCTAGACTTTGTGAATTTATGCGCAGTGCTAGACTGGCGTCGAGATTTGAAGTTTAGTTGGCTCGATATAGCCGAAAGTTCTATGCTATGTTTGATGACAGAATTAAAACTGAAAACATTTCCAGGTTCTTTTTTATCCAAGTAATTTCGACTGTCACTGTAGACATTAACAAGAATTATGCATTTGGTCTGTTTATAAAAAATATGTTTGTCTAATTGTGATGTTCTCCAGATTGCTGGAACCAATTTCCAATTAATGAAAGGTGACCTCATTCACAACGAGTAAACTGGAAATTTACGCTATTTTTATATTCAATATAGGCTCTCCTATGAACAGAGATAACCTATTTAATGTTGGCTGCTTCTAGAATTACAACGACTTTCATTGCATTGAGTTCTCTATAATATTTCAGTGTTAACTTTATTTTTATTTTTTGTTTATTCATTTCAGCCCAAGCAAGGCAATAAAGCCACTAGGATGCAAGAGGTTACTGAGTATTAGAAAGTATGAGAAAAACTGCTATTAAGGAGAAAGGACGATAAAAGAACAAGAATTAAGAAGACAGAAGATAACGATTAACATTGCATTTAAATTGCTGAAGATCAAATTTGGCCGAGAAGCAAGAAACCAGAAGAGAGTTCCACAAGCGAGAAGTGACAGAAAAGAAACTGCTAGCATAGAACTTACGGTTACATATAGTCATGTCAACTGTAAAATGATGAGACCTTAAATTCATAAAACTAGGTACCATAGAGGAAATTATTATTATTATTATTATTATTATTATTATTATTATTATTATTATTATTATCCCTGAAACACATTATATATATATATATATATATATATATATATATATATATATATATATATATATATATATATATATGTAATGTTTACTATATATAATGTTTACTATATCTATTATTTAATATTATTATTATTATTTATTATCATATTTATAATTTATTATCCGTGAAGGACTTCTTAGGAAGCTCTTAAAGGATAATAATTAAAAAGAATTTTTGAAGTGCCATGATAGTCTACAACACTGAAGGGTAATAGCCTTAACAGCAGCTGGATTCCATGGCCAAGAGATGTCTGCGCCAAACCCGAACGCGACCATTATCGCAAAAAAATGTAAGCGTAACGCCTTTATCCCCTGTGCCATGTGTCCATGAGGATAAAGGCGTTAGTTAGATCCACTGATAGGACTCAAAGAGTGTGAGTTCAATACCCGGTTAAGGCAGTGGAGAACTTTCAGAGGGAAATTAACAGGAGTTAACTGATAACTGATATCTGACATCCATTAAACATGG